AGGAGGAGGAGGGAGGAGGAGGAGGAGGAGGAGGACCCCCTCCCCCTCCAACTCGTGGTGGTGGTGGAACACAGGCCTTTCAAAAGGCACCCATTGGGAGGGTGGACCGCCCCTGTTATCGATGTCGACCGTGATGACCTCCCAGCCGCCCCGGGACAGGACGTCCCCGATCGCGGGGGGGCAGCTCCGGTGAGGCCGCTCTTTCTCCCTGCGCCCGCCGGGCCTCGGCGCACGCGGCCAGGAAGAGCAGCAGCTCCTCTGACAGGGGGCGCGCTTCGTGGGCCCTTTCGGGGGGGGAGCGGGGCGGTGATCCTGACCCAGATGAGGGGCAACGATAGGGGGGGACAGGCACAGGAGGGGATGCATCGACCTGGAATCGGCGATACATCGCCGAGAGATTGGCGATGGGCACCCGGTAGCGAATCCGCACCCTCCTGGGCGGGTAGGGGACATCGGGCCCCCATCGGCGATCAATGGGCGGTTGGGGGTCGATGCATCCCCCCCTATGCCTATCCCCCCCTATCCTTGCCCCCGACCAGACTGAACGAGGACTCGTTGGCGATTAGCAACACAAGGACCCCTCACCCGGTGGTTGGAAGCGCACCAGAATTCAGAGGGCAACACATTGGGGGTATGGGGCTTGATCTGCAGATGCATCGAAGCAGACCGCCCAGAATTGGCATCCCTAATGCTACAAGGGGGACCTCAGTTAGGCTACGTCTCTATTATGACATTAAAGGTAAGGGTTCTTGCATTCTCGACGAGTCGGTGCCGATCTTTATCATCGTCCAGATCGGTCACCGTGCATCCCGGGATCATCTGACTCAGCGACGGATGGCAGAGAGTATAGCCATCGACAAGCCCCCGCGACATCTTGGCCATGCTCATCCTGTTCCTTGCCTCGAAGGGCGTGTTGATGGACTCTGGAAGGTCTGTTCATCTCGGGATGCTTTCCGGCAGCTGAGCCTCGTCGAGAATGTTCTGGGGATGTCTTGATCGTCTCGATCGGGCACCAGAAGACCCAACTATGGCCAGAAAACCAGACCTCCTCGCGTTGCGACAAAGATCACAGAGAATGGTGTTGGGCCGTGTTCGCCCTGCTGGGGCCCAACTGGGGGGCCGTCCAGAAACGAATCGGGATCGGAATGCTGGTCCCAGGAAAGGGGTCCAGATCTCTGGGGTCCTCGTCGCAAATAAAAGCCTGGCGAAGGACCAAACAATATGCAGTTGTGAGTAACGCAGTTCTGGGTATCGTCTTCGGTGGAGCTCCCCATGGGGTCAAGAAACGTTCGAGGGGTGTGCCGAAATGGGTGGCGGGGACGCATGCGAACTCCGCCACTGGGGCCTTCGGTGGAGCTGCCGATGGGGCCACGAAACGTGTGAGGGGTGTGCCGAAATGGGTGGCGGGGACGCATGCGAACACCGCCACTGGGGCCTTCGGTGGAGCTGCGGATGGGGCCACGAAACGCGTGAGGTGTGCCAAAATGGGTGGCGGGGACGCATGAGAACGCCGCCACTGGGGCCTTCGGTGGAGCTTCCCATGAGGCCACCAAGCGTGTGAGGGATGTGCCGAACTGGGTGGCGGAGACGCATGCGAACGCCGCCGCTGGAGCCTTCGGTGGAGCTCCCCATGGGGCCGCGAATCGTGTGAGTGGTGCGCCGAAATAGGAATGCGAGAGAGCAGAGGCAGGGAGGGGAGGGGGAGGAGGAGTGAGAGAGGAGACGCGGGGCGCTGCCTCTACAAAACGAGGACCCAACACCACAGGATGATTGGGAACAAAACACTACATCGGAGACATGGGGAGTGACCCCAGGCAAGGACGGCCTTTGGTACGCGCAGTGCCGACCATGCAGGCGGGGACTTATCCTTCACCGTGCCACATGGCACGTCGAGGCGCAGTACAATGCGAAGTGTGCTGCCTGGGAAGGCTTCTGCACTCCTCCAATGGGCCGCCCCCCCCCTCTGCAAGCAGACACGCGCCCATGGCTCCCTCCACTGTGAAGGCTCCGACCCTTGAAAATGATCCGGGCAAAGGGCCCGACCGTCTGCAGTTGCGAGTACCGTCGCTGTGGGTATCGCCCTCGATGCATCTCCCCATGGGGCCGAGAAGCGTGGCGAGGGGTGTGCCGCAGTGGGTGGGGCGGCCGCATGTGGCCACTGCCGGGGGCCTTCGATGGCACTCCCCGTGGGACCACGACGCGCGTGAGGGGCGCGTGCCGACATGAGTGGGGCGGGGCCTTCGTTCAAGCCCCACATAAGGCCACAGACACTTGTGCGGGGTGTGCCGACCTGGATGGGGCGGCCGCCCACCAGTGGCGCCGCCAGCGGCGCCGCGTGGGCACCGCCACTGGCGGCCGAGAGCCTTCCGAAGAGATCCCAAGAGGCATCCCTGCGGACTCTGACCCAGGTCAGCGACGTCGTCGTCTTTCTTCAGGGTCGGCAGTAGGAGCTCGACAACAAGAATCCCCTTCACAAGAAACCCAACCTTGAGACCCCAGGACGTCCATTGATCTCTGTTGTGAGAGGGTCACGCTCTCAACAGCAAAACCATCGAAACCCAAGAAACCCAGGGCATCCTGGAAGCAAGCATGGTGCTTCTGGGGTCTGGGGAAACCGAAAAAAACAGATACCGCTACTTCCAAGACCTCTTCCGGGATACGCTCTGACCAGGATCTCGAGGCGAATCCAGCGGTGGCGACGAAGGCCCAGGAGGCGCCAAAGCAGGGCAAAACGAGGGGAGGGCAGAGGCATGGGTAATTACCTTGTTCCTCCTCTCCGAGCCTCTTGGCATGGGCACCCGCTGTAGTAGACGGCCCAGGACGGCCCTGAGAGCGCCACAGGCTGACGGCTCGACTCGACTACGCGCAAGAGTGACCCTGGGTAAGAGTGACCTCTGGTGCGCGGCTTTTGGGGGGCCGCGGGGGGACCAGACCTGGGCGCGCAGGCCGCTGCCGCTGCTTCGTTTTCAGCCGCCTGGGGACCCATCTGTTGGGCGCCCGAATTGTCCGGGGTAACTCGGGTCCGGGGTAACTCGGGTTTGGATTCCCGAAAAAGGAACCCGAGTTAGCCCTGACCCGAGTTACCCCTGATGATGTGGGGCTCTGGACGCCCGAGTTGTCCGGGGTAACTCGGGTCCGGGGTAACTCGGGCTTGGATCCCCGAAAAACGAACCCGAGCTATCCCTGACCCGAGTTACCCCTGATGATTCGGGGCTCTGAATCTGTGCCCGCACCAAAGGTCCCTCCCGCGAAAGGTCACTCTTACGTCTAATCGATCGACGGCCCCAGCCGGCCCCCAGGCCGGGCCAACGGCAGCCCCATGACGGCCGCGAGGGCCCCCCCAGGGGCGGCCCATGGAGAGGCCCCGAGAGGCCGAGGCCGCCCGCGGGAAGCGGCCGCCCGCGGAGAGAGGCACCCCAGGCCGTGACCGGCCTCCTCCTCCTCCTGCTCCTCCTCCTCCTCCTCCTCCTCCTCCTCCTCTCCTCCTCCTCCTCCTCCTCCTCCTCCTCACTCCTCCTCCTCCCTCCTCCTCCTCCCCTCCTCCTCCCTGCCTCCTCCTCCTCTCCTCCTCCTCTCCTCCTCCTCCTCCTCCTCCTCCTCTCCTCCTCCTCCTCCTCCTCCTCCTCCTCCTCCTCCCCCTCCTCCTCCTCCTCCTCCTCCTCCTCCTCCTCCTCCTCCTCCTCCACTCCTCTTCCTCCTCCTCTCCCTCCCTCCTCCTCCTCCTCCTCCTCCTCCTCCTCCTCCTCCTCCTCCTCCTCCTCCTCCTCCTCCTCCTCCTCCTCCCCCGGCGGTCTCGCGAGCGCCGCGCCCGGCCGCAGCGTCGCGGGAGGGCCCTTTCAGAGGCCAGCTCGTGGACTGCCCCTGGCGATCGGCGGCGCGCAAAAGGGGGCAGGAGGGGGCGGGGAGGCTTCTCAGAAGCGCCCCTGCTTCTCAGAAGGCCCCGGCCTTGCGTCTATTTGGGCGCCCGAAATATCCGGGGTAACTCGGGTCCGGGGTAACTCGGGTTTGGATTCCCGGAAAAGAAACCCGAGTTAGCCCTGACCCGAGTTATCCCTGATGATTCGGGGCTCTGGACGCCCGAGTTATCCGGGGTAACTCGGGTCCGGGGTAACTCGGGTTTGGATTCCCGAGAAACGAACCCGAGCTATCCCTGACCCTAGTTACCCCTGATGATTCGGGGCTCTGATCTATAGAGAGGGCCAGCGCCCCCTCTTGAGAAGCAGGGGTGGTTCTAAGAAGCCTCCCTCCTCCTCCTACCCCCCTCTGCGCGTGGCCGCTGCGTGCTGGAAGGGCTGTGGCATCCTCGCCCTCTCGCGCACACGTCGGCTCCACGTGGCCGAGGGGGTCTTCGAGACTGCCCCAAGACGGCGCAGGAGGTGCCCGGCCCGGCGGTCTCGCGAGCGCCGTGCCCGGCCGGAGGGGAGAGGAGGAGAGAGAAAGAAGAGGAGGAGGAGGAGAAGGAGAGAGAAACAAAAAAATATTATCCCGGCAAAGCAACCTAACAGCGACGTGTAGGAGCATATCTGGAAGCATTCCCCTCAAGATTCAGATGAGAATCCAGTTGAAGATTTCTGCTGTTCTCGAAGTCGTAGTCGCATTCGCGATGACAGTCGCAGTGGCAACGGCAGTCGCAGTCACAGCCTCAGACTCAGCCTGCCACAGCCTCAGCCTCAGCAGCCTGCCTCAGCCTCAGCCTGCCTCAGCCTGCTTCAGCCTCAGCATCAGTCTGCCTTCAGCCTCGGCCTCAGCCTCAGCTTGCCTCAGCCTCAGCCGGCCTCAGCCTCAGCCTCAGCCTCAGCCTCAGCCTGCCTCAGCCTGAGCCTGCCTCAGCCTGAGCCTCAGCCTGCCTCAGCCTCAGCCTCAGCCTGCTTCAGCCTCAGCCTCAGTCTGCCGTCGGCCTCGGCCTCAGCCTCAGCCTGCCTCAGCCTCACCCTGCATCAGCCTCAGCCTCAGCCTCAGCCTGCCTCAGCATCAGCCTGCCTCAGCCTCAGCCTCAGCCTCAGCCTCAGCCTGCCTCAGCCTCAGCCTGCATCAGCCTCAGCCTCAGCCTCAGCCTGCCTCAGCATCAGCCTGCCTCAGCCTCAGCCTCAGCCTGCCTCAGCCTCAGCCTCAGCCTGCTTCAGCCTCAGCCTCAGTCTGCCTTCAGCCTCGGCCTCAGCCTCAGCCTGCCTCAGCCTCAGCCTGCCTCAGCCTCAACATCAGCCTGCCTCAGCATTCAAAATGTGGCCCGGGAGTGGAGTTCTGGGAACTCGAAGAACACGAAGTGGCCTACAGTTGGCTCCGGGCATTCAAAGTCATGCCCAGGAATGGAGTTCTGGGAACTCGAAGACCACGAAGTGGCATACAGTTGGCTCCGGGCATTCAAACTGTGGCCCGGGAATGGAAGACTGGGAACTCGAAGAGCACGAAGTGGCATACAATTGGCTCTGGGCATTCAAAATGTGGCCCGTGAATGGAGTTCTGGAAACTCGAAGAGCACGAAGTGGCATACAGTTGGCTCTGGGCATTCAAAATCATGCCCAGGAATGGAGTTCTGGGAACTCGAAGACCACGAAGTGGCATACAGTTGGCTCTGGGCATGCAAACTGTGTCCCGGGAATGGAGTTCTGGGAACTCGAAGAGCACGAAGTGGCCTACAGTTGGCTCTGGGCATGCAAAGTGTGGCCCGGGAATGGAGTTCTGTGACCTCGAAGACCACGAAGTGTGTAACTGCTTGCTTCAAGAACTTCCGCGGATCCTCCCCGGATCCTGCCCGGACCCCTCTGGGGAGTATTGATGCTTTCTTTTGAAACCATAACTGGGTAGTCGAAGCCAATCTGGCGCCAATCTGGCAGGCCCAATCTGGCAAACGGGGGCAATCTGGCGAGGGAGCCAACGCGAATCCAGTCTGGCGAATAACCCAAATCATCCAGTCTGGCCAGGCCAGATTGGCCCCTGGAGCCCAATCCAATCTGACAGTCTGGCCTTCGACTACCCAGCATTAGAAACCTATCAGTCTTCGCTGTTAGGTGAAAACATCAAACAGACAAACCAAAGAAGAGAGGGGGCGCCGACCCACAGCCGCTGACCGAGAACCGCCCACCGCACTCGGCCGGCTACGTTCGCCAAGCTCTTGGGGGGGCGCCCACGGAGAGCCGCCCTCCGAGAACTGCCCACTGAAATCGGCCGGGTTATCTCGCAAATCTCACGTGTGCGCGCTAGGATCCATTCAATGTGGACACTGGTTGGAGAATAGTCTGAGGACGAACTTTCACTATGTTTGAATTGTTGTTGGCTATGGATCACTGTTCTTCCAAAGTCCGCTTGCAGGAGGACCTGCCCGATCTAACCTTAGACAGCCGAAAAGGGCCTGAACGGACCCCAAGGTCTGCCTTAAGCCCCAAATGAGCTCCACCAGAGATCCTCAAGGAGTGAAGATGAAAGGTGACCCCCGTGACTGCCTTGGGAGCTCTGCCACCCAACGGGCTGAGCTGGCACGGCAGCGGGACTTGCCGCAGGCACCTGGATCCATATCCACCGCCTGGGGAACCCATGTTCCTGGGACCCTATGGGGGCCGTAGAACATTGATACATCGGGGCCCCAAGCGGGGGCCGAACACACCCGCATCCAGCGCCTCCCGAAGTCGGTGGAGGAGGGCCCGGAGACGGCTGAGCAGGGCTTGAAAGATTGCCCGAAGGGCCACCGAGCCGCCGCTCAAGAAGGCACTCAAGAGGGCCCCGAGAGCGGCCCACGACGGGGGGACTCACAGTGACAATGGGAGCCATCCCCCACAAGATGGCCTCCAAGACTCGGCGGTGGACAAACCTCCCTCTAGTAACCACCCTTCAGTGAAAACTACCTAGGACCGAAACCGACGGACATGGACCGGCAAAATGAGTGCCGCGACGCCCTCTCGCGAAGCGGCCATGAACCGGCAGCAATGAGGGCCGGACAATTCACGAATCGACGTGTCGGGGTAGGAGGCCGATCAACCTCCGACAGCCTCCCACATGCCCCGAGGACCCCGACAAGCCTCCAAGCGGCCCCCCCCAAAAGCCAGCAGACGCCCCGAAAGGGCTCCGAGAGGCGCCCGCCAGGCCTCGACAAATCCGCCGACCCCTTGGGGATCATCGGCGTGTGAGATGCTTCCCCCTCCCCAAACCCCTCCCCTGGGAGCCCGGTCTGGTCGATTTGGAGGGGGGGGGGGGGGGGTCCGGGACGAGTGCAGGGGGTCCGGGACGAGCGCAGCACGGCCGGGACGAGCGGTTCACGGGGCTTTTCCGGGCCCAAGAGGGCCTCAAGACGGGCCAAGAAGCCCCCAAGAGGCCTCCAAGACGGCCCACGAAGGCCCCGAGACGCCAAACGACCGCTCCAAGACGCCCAAGATGGCCCCAAGACGGGCCAAGAGGTCTCCAAGACGGCCCCCGAGGTGCCAAACAAGCCTCCCAAGAGGGCCCCAAGAGTCTAAAATTGTTGATTTTCCATAGTGTTTTTCAATGTTTTTTGCTTTTCCGCCTTTTCGGCTTCCCGACGCTCCAAGACGGCCAAAGAGGCCCCAAAGACAGCCCCAAGATGGCCCAAGAGGCCCCCAAGACGGCCTCCAGACGGCCCAAGACGGCCCCAACACGGCCCAAGAGGTCCCCAAGACGGCCCAAGAGGGCTCCAAGACGGCACCAAGAGGGGCCCAAGAGGGCGACCAAACATGTTGAAACTCTAGCTTTCTGCCCCCAGGAGCCCCAGGGGGCCCCAAGAGTGCCCCAAGAGGCCCCCAGAGGCCCTCACGAGGCCGCCCAGACGCCCCAAGGAACCCCCAAGAAGCACCCCAGAGGCTCCGAAACGGCCCCCAAGTGGCTCCAAAACTCGCTTCCAGAGGCCCCCGAGAAGCGATCCGCGAGATCCCGATACACATACAAGAAGCCTCTCACCCATAACCCATAACCCAGAGCCGTTTCTCCGTGTCCCCCTTTCTCCTCCTCCTCCTTTTCCTCCACCTGGGCTCGCCGTGCGCTCGGACCCCCCCGCGGAACTGCCCGAGACCCTCTGGCGGTGGCGGCGAACAGACACCAAACAAATATCACTCGCCTTTTCACCCCTTCGCAGCTTCTACTACCCCCAGATTGGCATAAACAAGGGGTCGGCGGTGTGGCGTAAGCCTAAGAATCTCCCAGGGACCCCCCCGCAGCAGGAGCGGCGGAAGACGGCGTCAAAGCAGCAGCAGCTGCCCCACGAGGCCGAAAAGAGCTAAAAACCTCCCGCGACTGTTTCACGGCGCGAGCATGTCTGTTTTTCTTGGGCGCCCGAGTGATTCGGGGTAACTCGGGTCCGGGGTAACTCGGGCTTGGATTCCCGAAAAAGGAGCCCGAGTTACCCCTGACCCGAGTTACCCCTGATGCTTCGGGGCTCTGGACGCCCGAGTTATCCGGGGCAGCTCGGGTCCAGGGTAAGTCGGGTTCGGATTCCCGAAAAAGGAACCCGAGTTACCCCTGACCCGAGATACCCCTGATGCTTCGGGGCTCTGAGATTCGTATCTACACTCGGCGGTGGACAAACCTCCCTTTAGTAGACCTCCCTTCAGTGAAAACGGCCTGGGACCGAAACCGACGGACCTGGACCCTCAAAAATGACGGCCGCGACGCCCTCTCGCGAACCGAAAACGGCCAATTCCTTAATCGACGTGTCAGGGCAGGAGGTCTGTCCACCCCCGATGCACTATACCCGGCGGCCGTGCGAGGCGACCCGGGCAACCCTGGAACGCCATCGGCGGGGCGCGGCTGCTGGAACGCACCGAGACGCTGGAAAACCGCCGAGGACCTCGAATGCCCAACAGCCTCGAACCTCGATCCGGCCTCGGGTCCTCAGCGGACGCCCGAAATGGGTACGGAGATAAAGGGTGCGATGCCCAACAACTAATGTTGACGATAACTGGCAGCGGACGCTGTTGGGCAGGCGGCCTCATGTCTCAAGCGGACAACGCCCGCGACAACGCCGACAGCGAACCCGGCTCAAAATGGGCAGGAAGTTTGGTCGGTCGTTGTATAAGACGAAGTCATGATGAGGATAACACCAGGTGAGGATCAAGGGAGAATCTCTGAGATCCTGCGGCTTCGGAGATGTCTCGGGCTCCCCGGCCTTCTCATGGCGTCCCAGAGCGCTCTGAGAGCGTTCAAACTAGAAGGGCAAAAAACTACGTAAACATACTCTTTTGCGGGTCCGCGCGGATTTCTTGGATCCGCGCCGGGCCTCTCTCCCTGGCGCGCGGAGCGCGCCAGGGGCGGCGCCGGAGACGCCGCCAGGGGGGCCCAGCGCGGAGTCCTGGCCCCGTCCGAACTTCTGTCGGTCGTCGTGCCCGTACGTCCAATACCCACTTCGATCGTGAGGGCGTTCTGGAAAGCTCTGGAACGGGTTGATCCTCGTCCTGGCCCTGTGCGAGCTTCTGTCGGTCGTCGTGCCCATACTTCCCGTACTCATCTCGATCGTGAGGGCGTTCTGGAAAGCTCTGAAACGGGTTGATCCTCCTCCTGGTCCCGTGCGAGCTTCTGTCGGTCGTCGTGCCCGTACGCCCCGAGGAGGAGGAGGAGGAGGAGGAGGAGGAGGAGGAGGAGGAGGAGTGCCCACTTCGATCGCGCCGATCCTCCGTCGCCAGGTCGCCCCTCGCGCCGAGCTCGGGGTCCGCGCCGGACAGGTAGAGCTCGGCGAGGCACAGCCGCGCCAGCGGGTAGCCCGCGGCCTCGGCCTCGAGCGCCTCGCGCGCGAGCGCGGCGTCCTCACAGGGCGAGCCGCAGGGCGGGAGGGCTGGGGCGAGAGGAGGGGAGCCTCCCTCCTCCAGCCCCCCCTCCCTCCTGCCCTCCCCACAGGGCGTCCCTCCCTCCCCTCCCCCCCTCCCTCCCTCCCTCCCTCCCTCCCTCACGGGGGAAGTCACACAGGGCCCCCTCAGAAGGCCCCGAGGGCCCCAGGGGCCTGCTGAGACTGAGCCGATGTTCGAAGACAGAGAAGGCTGCTCAGAGGGCTGGAGTTGTCTGCTCATTCTGGGCACCTTCCTGCCGCCACTCGCTCCGCTCGTGCGTCGATGCTGCGCCGAACGTCCGTCGATTCGCTCCGACCTCGAGTCGAACCCGAGTCGCACCCGAGTCGCACCTGAGTCGAGCCTGAGTCGAACTGGAGTCGAACTGTGGCCGAACCGAAGTCGAACAGACCCGTCAGGTGGGCCCCGGACGGGCCCCCCAAACTCGGCGGTGGACAAACCTCCCGTTAGTAAACCTCCCCTCAATGAAAACGGCATGGGACCGAAACCGACGGACCTGGACACGCAAAAATGACGGCCGCGACGCCCTCTCGCGAACCGAAAACGGCCAATTCGCTAATCGACGTGTCAGGGTAGGAGGCCTGTCCACCCTCGACTGCTTGTTTGGCGCTCCGGCACTGAGCGGAAGGGGCGGAGTGGGGGGGGAGGGGTGTCCTGGCTCCGGGCATCGGCGGAGCGCGAATGCCTGGAGCAGTGCTCCCATGAGGGATCCTGTGGGGAGCCGTCCGCCTGCTTGGAGCATGCTCCCAACACAGCCAAGACCTACTCCGTCGGGGGGGAGGGGGGAGGGGTGCGAGGGCCCGAGCCGATCGGCGAAACAATGACTAAGAAATCGATGACCACGTCAAGGATCAGGCTGCACGTCAAAATCACCGCCTCAGGCCGGCGACAGGCAGCCGCGGGGAGGCTGGGGTCACCACAGTTGTTTGTTGCAGAGGCCTGGGCAGAATTCTCTGGTCGGCACTGGATATCCCACTGGCGGGGCTTCCTGCGCCCCCACAGACTGCACACCACGCACGTTGTGCACCCCGCAGAATTGGATGCGGCAGAGCGGCCTGCGCCCCGACAAAATGGTCCAAGATAATTACCCTGTGACGTACCCAAGCCTTTCTGTACATGTGGCGATTCTACTCAGGACAACTCAATGCTGACTGGCATTCTGAAGGACCCGCGGTGCGCGAGAAGAGCACCCAGCGGTGATTCCAGAAGAGCGCAGCAGGAAGAGCAACGGCAAATCGCAAGCCCCCCAGGGGGGCGGCGAGGTCCCGAGGTGGTCCACGTATGACGTACCTCCACTGGGCCTCCCAAGAGCCAAGAAAAATGGCGACAGTTGCCCAGATCGCAAACCCCCCCAGGGGCCGGCAAGGCCTCCCAAGAGCCCACGAAAATGCCGACAGCTTCGCAGATCGCAGCCCCCCAGGGCACCGCGAGCTGCAGAGGTGGTCCGCGTGGGACGTACCTCCGCTGGGCCTCCCAGGAGCCCACGAAAGTGACAACAGCTTCGCAGATCGCAAGCCCCACAGGGCACCGCGAGCTATAGTGGTAGCTCGCGTGGGACGTGCCTCCGCCGGGCCTCCCAGGAGCCCACGAAAAAGCGGACAGCTTCGCAGATCGCAGCCCCCCAGGGCACCGCGAGCTATAGTGGTGGTCCGCGTAGGACGTACCTCCGCCGGGCCTCCCAGGAGCCCACGAAAAGGCGACGGCTTCGCAGATCGCAGCCCCCCAGGGCACCGCGAACTAATAGTTGTCCGCGTGGGACGCACCTCCGCTGGGCCTCCCAGAGCCCACGAGAGTGCCGACAGTTGCGTAGATCGCAGCCCCCCACGGCACCGCGAGCTACAGTGGTGGTCCGCGTGGGACGTACCTCCGCTGGGCCTCCCAGGAGCCCACGAAAGTGCAAACAACTTCCGAAGACCGCAGCCCCCCAGGGCACCGCGAGCTATAGTGGTGGTCCGCGTGGGACGTACCTCGGCTGGGCCTCCCAGGAGCCAACGAAAAAGCCGACAGGTGCACAGATCGCAGCCCCCCAGGGCAACACGAGCTATAGTGGTGGTCCGCGTGGCACGTACCTCCGCTGAGCCTCCCAGAAGCACACGAAAGTGGCGACAGTTGCGCAGATCGCAGCCCGACGGCACGAGAGAAGAGGAGAGGAACGGCAAATCGCAAGCCCCCCAGGGGGCGGCGAGGTCCCGAGGTGAACCGCGTATGACGTACCTCCGCTGGGCCTCCCAGGAGCCCACGAAAGTGACAACAGCTTCGCAGATCGCAGGCCCCCCCAAGGGGCGGCAAGGCCTCCCAAGAGCCCACGAAAGTGCCGACAGTTGCGCAGATCGCAGCCCCCCTGGGCGCCGCCAGCAATAGTGGCGGTCCGCGTGGGACGTACCTCCGCTGGGCCTCCCAGGAGCCCACGAAAATGCCGACAGTTGCGCAGATCGCAGCCCCCCACGGCACCACGAGCTATAGTCGTGGTCCGCGTGGGACGTACCTCGGCTGGGCCTCCCAGGAGCCCACGAAGGTGCCGACAATTGCGCAGATCGCATCTCCAGGGCACCGCGAGCTGAAGTGGCGGTCCGCGTGGGACGTGCCTCCGCTGGGCCTCCCAGGAGCTTAAGAAAGTGCCGACAGTTGCGTAGATCGCAGCCCCCCACGGCACCGCGAGCTATAGTGGTGGTCCGCGTGGGACGTACCTCCGCCGGGCCTCCCAGGAGCCCACGAAAGTGGCGATAGATGCGCAGATCGCAGCCTCCCAGGGCACCGCGAGCTATAGTGGTGGTCTGCGTGGGACGTACCTCGGCTGGGCCTCCCAGGAGCCCACCAACGTGGCGACACTTGCACAAATCGCAGCCCGACGGCACGAGAGAAGAGGCGAGGGTAACACAGGAAACAGGAGAGAAGGAGGAGGGGAGGAGAGGGGAGGAGAGGAGGAGGAGGTGGAGACCAGACTGCTCTATTCAATTACCCTGTGACGCACCCAACCGTTTCTATACATGTTGCGGTTATACTCAGGACCACTCAATGCTGACTGGCATTCTGAAGGACCAGCAGTGCACGAGAAGAGCACCCAGCGGAGATTTCAGAGTAGCGCAGCCAGAAGAGGGACGGCAAATCGCAAGCCCCCCAGGGGGCGGCGAGGTCCCGAGGTGGTCCGCGTATGAGGTACCTCCGCTGGGCCTCCCAGGAGCCCACGAAAGTGACAACAGCTTCGCAGATCGCAAACCCCCCCAGGGGGCGGCAAGGCCGCCCAAGAGCCCACGAAAATGCCGACAGCTTCGCAGATCGCAGCCCCCCAAGGCACGGCGAGCTGAGGTGGCGGTCCGCGTGGGACGTGCCTCCGCTGGGCCTCCCAGGAGCCCACGCAAGTACCGACAATTGCACAGATCGCAGCCCCCCAGAGCACCGCGAGCTATAGAGGTGGTCCGCGTGGGGCGTACCTCGGCTGGGCCTCCCAGGAGCCCACGGAAAGGCCGACAATTGCGCAGATCGCAGCCCCCCAGGGCACCGCGAGCAATAGTGGTGGTCCGCGTGGGACGTACCTCGGCTGGGCCTCCCAGGAGCCTCCGAAAGTGCCGACGGTTTCGAAGATCGCAGCCCCCCAGGGCACCGCGAGCTATAGTGGTGGTCCGCGTGAGACGTACCTCCGCCGGGCCTCCCAGGAGCCCACGAAAGCGGCGATAGATGCGCAGATCGCAGCCCCCCAGGGCACCGCGAGCTATAGTGGTGGTCGGCGTGGGACGTACATCCGCTGGGCCTCCCAGGAGCCCACGAACGTGGCGACAACTTCGCAGATCGCAGCCTCCCAGTAGTGGCGGTCCGCGTGGGACGTACCTACGCTGGGCCTCCCAGGAGCCCACGAGAGTGCCGACAGTTGCGCAGATCGCAGCCACCCACGGCTCCGCGAGCTATAGTCGTGGTCCGCGTGGGACGTTCCTCGGCTGTGCCTCCCAGGAGCCCACGAAGGTGCCGACAATTGCGCAGATCGCAGCCTCCCAGGGCACCGCGAGCTATAGTGGTGGTCTGCGTGGGACGTACCTCCGCTGGGCCTCCCAGGAGCCCACGAAAAAGCCGACAGTTCCAGAGATCGCAGCGCCTCAGGGCACCGCGAGCTATAGTGGTGGTCCGCGTGGGACGTACCTACGCTGGGCCTCCCAGGAGCCCACGAAAGTGGCGATAGATGCGCAGATCGCAGCCCCCAAGGGCACCGCGAGCTATAGTGGTGGTCCGCGTGGGACGTACTTCTGCTGGGCCTCCCTGGAGCCCACGAACATGGCGACAGTTGCGCAGATCGCAGCACGACGGCACGAGAGAAGAGGAGAGGGTAACACAGGAAACAGGAGAGGAAGAGGAGGGGCGGAGAGGAGAGAGGGGATGAAGGGGCCCTGGGACACACAAATAAGTACACACAAATAGCAGGACTCCATATATTTGCCCATATGTTCTTGGTTTTTGTCTTCCCCCCCCACTTCCCATATGTTTCCACATTTTCGTTGGAATCGACGATTCATTGTGTCTGTGTGATGGTTCCCCTCCTGAGAGGAGGAGGGTGGAGACCACACTGCCTTATTCAAAACGAGAACCCAACACAGTAGGGTTGGGAACACGAGAACCCAACACAAGAGGGTTGGGGAAAAGACGAGGGCACATCAGCTTTGAATCGATCCCCGGCCCCCTCCCAGCCGCGCGCAGCCGCGGCGACGAAGGGGTTCCTCTCCCCCCCTTTCTGCTGGCCAGAACAAAACCACTGCTGGGCCAACTGAGCCCACCGGCTGGCTCAAGGCATAGACCAGATCCAAAGCGCAAGGGCTCACCGCTTGGGCTTGTACAGGGCAGGTTTTGACACATAGGATTTTAACAACATTGGAGTTTCAATATGAATCAATGCATGCATGAAATCATCGTTGTTTCTAATACTGAATCCCTGCATGTTTAATACATGATCCGCACGCGGAGCATTTATAAAAAACGGCACTGTACAGTCGGGGCATTGACCTAAGGAACCCTAGATAAGGAACGAGGCCCCTTTTGTCCATAAGTTAAACTTCGATGTCCTATCGAAAACATAAGGGAAACCTGAGGCAAGCTTTGAAACACTTAAGGAAAGCGGAGCCCCTCCCCAACCAAAAGGGTTCCTTATTCAGGACCCCGACTGTAGGACCCATCAGCCTCGAATCGGACACTCAGATCGAACGGGCATGTCGGCATCGACCTGCATCGGCTGCGCAGGGGGTGCACAACTCCACCGTGCACGCATCGGATCGCCGGAATACGGTCGGACATAGGACAGAAGGACATCCTTCAAAAACGAGACCCTCTGCTGGCCAAAGCACAAGTAACATCTAAGGGTACACTGGCGCGGGGGCACAAACAATCCAACATCCAACGAACGCGAAGAACACTAGGGTACCCTCCAAGATTTGACCTCGATCGTTAGAGGCCTCTTAGACGGGGTCCGAGCAAATTGGGTCGGATGTTCTCGCCGCATCGCCGATGCATTGGCGATACATCGCCGATGCATCGCCGATGCATCGGCGACGTTGGGGATGCATCGTCGCCGTAAGCGTGGGAAAAATTGGGCTATGGGAGGACTATAATCTCATACTTTGGTCCGACTGCACAGGAATCGAGTCGGATCGGGCCGGATCGAGCGGATCGAATCGGGTCCAGGATGGATGTCGACTCGGATCCAGGGAGGAGGAGGAGGAGGAGGAGGAGGAGGAAGGAGGGAGGAGGTGGGAGGAGGAGGGAAGAGGAGGAGGAGGAGGAGGAAGGAGGAGGAGGAGGAAGGAGGGAGGAGGTGGGAGGAGGAGGGAAGAGGAGGAGGAGGAGGAGGAAGGAGGAGGAGGAGGTGGGAGGAGGGAGGGAGGAGGAGGAGGAGGAGGGAGGAGGAGGCGGAGGAGGAGGAGGGAGGTGGGAGGAGGAGGAGGAGGAGGAGGAGGAGGAGGAGGAGGAGGAGGAGGAGGAGGGGAGGAGGGAGGAGGAGGAGGGAGGAGGAGGAGGGAGGAGGAGGAGGAGGAGGAGGAGGAGGAGGAGGAGGAGGAGGAGGAGGAGGGAGGAGGGAGGGGGAGGAGGAGGAGGAGGAGGAGGAGGACGAGGAGGAGGAGAGGTGAGGATGAGGAGGAGGAGGAGGGAGGAGGAGGAGGAGGAGGAGAAGGATGAGGAAGAGGAAGGATGGATCGAGGCGGGGGCCCTCCGCTCGGGGCCACGCACCGGCGGCCAGGGCGCCCACCTTGGCTGAGCGTCCTCGCCAGACACGACCCGCTGCCCGAGCGCCGCGAGGGCCTCGACCACTCCCCTCGGCGCCCGCGGCAGCAGCACCTCTCTTCGGCGGCGAGCGCAGGGAGGAACCTCCTCCTCCTCCTCCTCCTCCTCCTCCTCCCCTCCTCCTCCCTCCTCCCTCCTCCACTCTCCTCCTCCTCCTCCTCCTCCCACCTCCTCCCTCCCTCCTCCTCCTCCTCCTCCTCCTCCTCCTCCTCCTCCTCCTCCTCCTCCTCCTCCTCCTCCTCCTCCGCAGGCGAGGAGGCGGAAACGGCTTTCTCAGGAGGCGGCGGCACTGCTCTGAGGCCCACGGGCCTTCTGGAGGCAGCGTTCTGTGTCTTCCGAGAGGGGGGTCCAAAGAAGTTCTCAAAGGCCGGGGGGCGGCTTCCGGGCCTCCCGAGGAGGCCCGCTCCCTCTGAGTTCCCCCCCGGGCTCGCTGCCGATCTCTGCCACGAAAGGGAGCCACGAGAATCGGGAAATCGATCGGGGTGGGAGCGCGAGACGGATCGGGCTGCATCGGCGCGGAGATGGAGTCGAACCGGGACACGCCGCGACAGGATGCAGGGATGCACAATAGCGCGATGCAGTCATCGGGTCGCACGGGGCTGTGGAACTGTTGGGATCGAGTCGCCAGACCGCGGCAGTCACACCTCTCCGCCACCAGGGACCCAGACCCCAGACGCCCCCGCGTCAGGACAGAATGGTGGCGGAGGCTGTTTTTCTGTCGGTCGTGGGCCTCCGGGGGCTCTCCAAGGGCCCAGGGGCCGTCACAATTAGCCTGACGAAACATCCGACCACTGACAGCTGCAGGTACCGCACTGTGGGTACCGCTTTCGGTGGAATATCCTTCTGGGGCCACGAACCGTGTGAGGGGCGCGCCGACTTCGGGGCGCGGTGGTGCCATGCGACCCCTCCCACTGGAGCCTTCGGCGGAGCACCCTCTCGGGCCACGAGATATGTGAGGGAGTGTAACTACCGAATTGGGTGCGGTGGTGCCATGCGAACCCTCCCGCTGGACCCTTCGGCGGAATTCCCGATGGGGTGCGCCGAAGTGGGGGTGGAACTGCATGCGAACCCTGCCAATGGGGCCTTCGATGGAGCTCCCTATGGGGCCACGAACCGTGTGAAGCGTGCGCCGAAATGGGGGTGGAACTGCATGCGAACCCTGCCGCTGGGGCCTTCGATGGAGCTCCTTCTGGAACCTGGGGGCGGAACTACATGCGAACCCTGCCGCTGGGGCCTTCGGTGGAGCTCACTATGGGGCCACGAAACGTGTGAGAGGTGCGCCGAAAAGAGGGTGGAACTGCATGCGCACCCTGCCACTGGGGCCTTCGGTGAAGATCCCTATGGGGCCGTGTGAAGGATGCGCCGAAATGAGGGTGGAAGTGAATGCGAACCCTGCCACTGAAGCATTCGGTGAAGCTCCCTATGGGGCCATGAAACTTGTGAGAAGTGCGCCGAAAAGAGGGCGGAACTGCATGCGCACCCTGCCACTGGGGCCTTCGGTGCAAGTCCCTATGGGTCCACGAACCGTGTGAGGGGTGCGCCGACATGAAGGTGGAACTGCATGCAGAGCCTGCCACTGAAGCATTTGGTGAAACTCCCTATGGGGACACGAACCGTGTGAGGGGTGCGCCGAAATGAGGGCGGAACTGCATGCGAACCCTGCCAATGGGGCCTTCGGTGCAGCTCCCTATGGGGCCACGAACCGTGTGAGGGGTGCGCCGAAATGGGGGTGGAACTGCATGCGAACCCTGCCGCTGGGGCCCTCGGCGGAGCTCCTAGGGTCCACGAACTGTGTGAGGGGTGCGCCGAAAAAACAATGGAACTGCGTGCGAACCCTGCCATTGGGGCCTTCGGTGGAGCTCCCTATGGGGCCACGGACCGTGCGAGGGGTGTGCCAAAATGGGGCGGCGCCGCCATGCGGACTGCGCGGAAGGAGGGGGGGGCAGCGGGAGGAGGAGGAGGAGTGACGCGGGGCGCTGCCTCTTCAAAACGAGGACCCAACACCACAGGATGGCTGAGAAAAAACGACTCGGGACGGAACACACGTCCCCGGGGAATTGGGGCCCACGTCAAAAACAAAATATGACGTCGGGCAGGGCTGGGCTCGAGCTAACCAGTGTCTTCCGTTTGCGCTCTGGTCTCGTCGTCCCTCGTTCTGCCTTCGTCCTGCCCCTGCTGCCAAAGAAAGCCAGAGCGAAAACGGTCCACGAGACTGCCCGAGCACCGTTGGACTCGAGCCCCGACGTCGGGGTTGCAGGGGACACGGCCCCGTGGGGAAGACGGACTCGGGACCCTAGGGACCATGCTGCGGCTGCCGCATGGGCGGATCGCCGAGGGGGGGGGCACTGCAGCAGACACACGCGACGAGAGACTGTTTTTCATCAGGCAGCTTGGAAGATCGTTTCACGATGTGTGACCTCGACTGCCAGGGATAAGGCCCCTGCTTCTCAGTCAGCTCTGCTCGCGAACGCCTCGCTGTCACGCTCCAGGAGCGTGGTCACTTGCACGGGTACTCCAGGTTTCATAATAACAGGAAGGAGGTCTGGACCCTCCGAGACAAGCCATTTCAGACATCCCCCGTGGGAGAGCCCCCCAGAACATCGTCCCCAGACCTCCCAGGCCCTCCAAGACAGCCTGGAAGAGACCCCCCCCCCCCGAAGTGAGACCCCCCTCCCTTTAAAATTACGAGATCTGGAGCAAACACAACCCGCCCCCCGACGGACTGAGAACTGGGGCGCCTGATCCGCTGATCGCCCAGGAGGAGGAGGAGGAGGAGGAGGAGGAGGAGGAGGAGGAGGAGGAGGAGGAGGAGGAGGAGGCTGGGGCCGCTGGGGGGGAGAAGAAACCTCCGCGGGGCCCCTGCTGGCGGGCCCATGCCTCGTTTGACGGTGACGTGCACACCCTGGCCGTCGCTCGGGCGCCCCTGTCCCGCGCATGCTTCGGCCTCGCGCGCGTGCGTTTTTTGCCCGATGGCCCAGGATGGTCCTCGAGGGTTCTCGCCGCGCTCTCGCCGAGGAAAAAGGCACACGCCCGAGCGATGCCCAGACACTGCACCCGTGTACCCAGAGGCTCCGATCGCCCTGGTCTTCGACGAGGCTCCAAGGTGACTGCGTGTAGTGCCCGCCCGTGGGATATGCACTCCTCGTGCGTCCGCGGAGCCCTTCCCCGGAACCAGTTCTTCATCCCGACTCGCTGCTCGACCTTCCTGGGGCCCGCGGAGGGCCCTGGAGGATCAGAAAACCTAGACTTCTCATAGCGAGAGGCCAAACCAGACACTGATGCGTGGACCGCCGTTGTGAGGAACAACATGCGTGAAGGGTGTGCCGGAGTGGGTGGGGCGGCCACTGGTGCCGACGGTGGAGCCCCATATGAGGCCACGGAACGTGTGAAGTGTGTGCCGGAACAGGTAGGGCGGCCGCATCTGGACACCGCCGCTTTGGGCTTCTGTGGAGCTCCCGAGAGGCGTGCCGAAATGGACAGGGCGGAGTCATGTGGACACCATCTCTTGGGCCTTCGCCGGAGCCTACTATGGGGCCACGAAACGGTGTGTGGCGCGGCCGCATGTGGACATCGCTACTGGGGCCTTCGGTGGAGCTCCCCATGAGGCCACGACACGTGTGAGGGGGTGTGCCGAAATGGGTGGGGCGGCCGCATGTGAACACCGCCACTGGGGCTCCCGGTGGAGCTCCCTATGGGGCCACGAAGCGCGTGAGGGTGTGCCGAAATGGTGGGTGGGCCGGCCGCAGGTGGACATCGCCACTGGGGCACTCGGTGGAGCTCCCTATGGGGCCGCGACACGTGTAAGGGGTGTGCCGAGAAGGGTGGGGCGGCCGCGCGTGAACACCGCCACTGGGGCCTTCGGAGGAGCCCCCTGCGGGGCCACCAAACGTGGGAGGGCTGTGTCGACATGGGTCGGCCGGCCGCGTGTGGGCATGGCCAGAGGAGCATTCCGAGGAGCGCCCGACGGGGCCACGACCCGTGCAAGATTGTGCCGAAATGGGTTGGGCGGCCGTATGTGGATGTGGCCGCTGGGGCCTTCGGTGGCGTTGCCCGGGGGGTCTCGAGTCACGAAACGCGTGAGGACGTGCCGAAATGGATGGCATGTGGAGGAAGAGGGCTGGAGGCAGGGATGGGAAGAAGGGGGTGAGTAGGAAGAGGAGGAGAGGAGTGGCACGGCGCGTGATCTCTTCGCACAGAAACCAGACTGCACAGCACGGTTGGGAAAAACCTCGCTCACTTGTGCCGCAGGCTGTGGCAGCCCATGGGCGTGCATGTTGGCATATCCACTGTGAGTACGAGCATGGCGCACTACGTGTCGCCATGTGGGAGCGCCACTCACTGCATCTGGAAGCCAGCTGCTGCCCCCAGCCAGACGGCTTGCGTCGGGCAACGCACGTCGGACCCGTTCCTTCCTGGGTGCTCCGATTCGGCGGATCCTACAGGACTTATCTCTCTCGGGACCCATCCCACTCGGCCTTTTGGCCAAAACTCGGGCCTCTGGCGGCCAGTCGGAACGACTCGGGCACAACCGCAGCTGCTGGAGCGCACCCCAAGGCACGAGAACATACACACAAAGACCCCTTTCAAGACATCCGACGTGTTGCTTTTCAATCCGCAGCAAAGGTCCCGACGTCTTCTGAGGCCAACATTTTGAGCTGGTCTTCATTGCCCTGGGGCCTGAAAACAGTACTCAGATGCAGAAGTCCACTGGAACAAAAGAGCGGGGGAACAAACAGGTACCGACGCCGCTACTCCCCAGCCCTCTCCCTGGATGCGCTCTTACCCTCATTTCGATGAGAATTCTGCCGTGGAACTGAAGATTCTCCAGGACGAACAGCGGCACCGTTATACTTTATCACATGGGAAACCGAAGAGCCAAACAGAACCGAAACCGCTACCCCACGACCGCCCCCCCCCCATCCGATGCGCTCTGCCCAGAATCTGGAGGCCAAGCCAGCAGTGGCGACGAGGGCCTCCCAGAGGAGGCCCAGAGGGGACGAACGAGGCGAGAGCAGCAGGACCGGCGCCTCCCCAAAAATTCGCCGCCGAGCTCTTGTCCACGACGTCGACCCCCAGAGGTCTCGACCCCTCCCCCCGGGACCGGCTCTTCCTCCCGGGTCGTTGCGTGACGGTCCCAAGAAGCCCGGCGAGGGCCCCCGGAGGCCGAGGCTGGCGAAAAACCGTCCTGGGTTTCTGTTTTCGTTCACATCGTGAGCGAGTCATGCTTGCTCCTGCTTGTTTCGGCGGTGGACAGACCTCCCCTTCGTAAACCTCTCCTTAGTGAAACCGGCCCTGGACCGACACCCACGCACCTAGACCCGCAACAATGACGGCCGCGACGCCCTCTCCGGGACCGAAGACGGCCAATTCGCAAATCGACGCGTCAGAGTGGGAGGTTTATCCACCTCCGAATGTTTTCGGCCTTCCTCGCCCGAGGTCGGGGATCTTCGGGCCCGGGTCAATCCAGACCACGGGTCAGCAGGAAACCAAACAACTGCAATGCAGGAAAACAAAACTGCAGCGCAGATCCCTTCGCAGACCCGGGTCAGCCAGCAGGCGCGGCCGCGCCCTCGCGGCCACGAGCGGCTCGCTGACCCGGGTCAGCCAGAGGGGGTCTTCGCAGAATCCTGCAGGATCCGGCGCCCTGACTGACCCCCGTCCATCCTTATGTCGGGCGTGTCACTCTACAGTTGGATTTTCGACGAAAAATTAAAAACACACACCAAAAATAACCAACAAATGCACCACAAATAAACTGGAGACTATCTGTTGAGTATTTGTTTACCTCTTTGGTGTATGTTTGGAGTATTTCTTTACTGTTCGTCGAAAATCTCCCTGCAGGGGGACACGCCCGACATAAGTCTATCCACCTCCGAATGTTCTCGGCCTTCCTCGCCCGAGGTCTGGCCATCGCTCGGACGTCCAATCCGTGTGTTTTTTGTTGGTTTCGTGCGTGGTTGTTTCGCCAATTGATCAAGGATGCTCCTCGATGGTCCTCGCCGATTTTTTTTTTTTTTTTTTTTTTTTTTTTTTTTTTTTTTTTTTTTTTTTTTTTTTTTTTTTTTTTTTAAAAAAAAAAAAAAAAAAAAAAAAAAAAAAAAAAAAAAAAAAAAAAAAAAAAAAAAAAAAAAAACGTCCGAACGATGCCAGGAAGTGGCGTCGTCGGGGGTCCGGGCTCGCTCCGCGGCGGGCACCTCCACGCCGCCCACGGCCGCGCTGGCGGCCATGGGGCGGCCCGCGCCCGGGGGCGCCCGCCCGCGGGGGAGGGGGGGCGCGGCGCGGCCCGCGCCCGAGGTCGGGGGGCCCTGTGGAGCAAGGCTGACGGGGCCCGTTTTTTTTCTATATTGTTGTTGTTATTGTTGTTGTTGTTGCTGCTGCTGTTGTTGTTGTTGGTGGTGTTGTTGGTGTTGCTGTTGTTGTTATTGTTGTTGCTGCTGCTGTTGTTGTTGTTGTTGAATGCTCATTTCTGAAGAATAAGTATTGTTGATCCCCCCACTGGTGCATACAAAGTGTGCCCCTCGACGCTCGCACCCTGTTTTTCTGACAAAGAGAATCTTCCTGCTCAAACTGGGCCCCTGGCCCCCGGGTTACAACAACAACGGCTCCCGCTTGAGACTTCCTTACAATTTAGCCAGGACCCCCGCTCCCGCCCGAGACTTCCTCAAATTGTATTCAGGAATCGCGCTCTCGCTTGGGACTTCCTTGCAATGTATACAGGAATCGCTCTCCCCGCGCCCTGGAGTCGCGCGCTGGAGACTTGCTTGCAACTTACTGAAGAATAGCCTTGCGTTGGAATGTCCTGCAATTTGCCCAAGCGCCGCGCTCCCGACACCCAGGCACCCAGGGGTCGCGCCCGTTGTGGCCCTATGTGCATGCCCTTCGTTGCCCCGCTGTCGCCATTTGTGTCCCCCTCACTGTCCTACGTGGCCCAATTGCTACCCTCAGTGGCCCCATAGTTGCTTTCTGTGGCCCCGCATTATCTGCACCTCGTGGTCCCCGCTCGTTCGCGCTCTTCGTGGCCCCATACGCATTCCCTTCGTGTCCCCGCTGTCGCCCTTCGTGGCCTACTTCGTGCCCTTCGAGGCCTTGCTGTCGTTCTCTCTCGCTCTCGCTTTCGCTCGTCGTCGCCCTCGTCGTCGTCGTCGCCGTCGTCTTCGACGTCGTCGTCGTCGTCGTCGTCGTGGTCGGTCCCCTGTCCGTTCCTCTTGGGGTCGGGTCAACGGTCCGCGGCCGCCCCGCCGATCAGCGCTGCCGCTGGCCAGGCCGACGGTCCGCGGCCGCCCCGCCGCTGGCCGGGGCCCGGCCTGCAGGGAAGAAAGGTATAACCCCCAGAAGGGGTTCGATCGAAGACGAAGAGGGCGGGTATCGCAGGTTTGGGAAATACGCGATATTGGACACTCGAGCATATAAGGGCGAACGGTGTCAAGATTGGTTTTGTTGTTGTTGTTGGTTGTTGTTGGTTGTGTTAAATGTGTGTATATGTATGTGTAGGCCTCCGCACCCCTTATGAACCCCCTGTTTTCTCGTGGAAGATGCCAAGAGGAAAGGAGGGCGGAAGCGCGTTGAGTTTCGGTTATGGTGTTGTGTTGTGTTGTGTTGTGTTGGTTGGAGCCAAAGCGTTGTGCTGTGTATCGGGGTGTTGTCTATCGGTTGCTGTGTTGGATACGGGGGGAGTTGAGTAGAATGATATGTGTAAGTTCATCTTGGCAAGGAAGCCTGTTGAGTATCGGGTGTTGGGTTGGAGAAGGAGGCTGTTGAGTACTGGGTGCTGTGTTGGAGACGGACGGAGTTGAGAAGAAGGTTATTTTAAAGTGCAACTTTGGGAGGGAGCCTGTGGAGTATCGGGTGTTGTGTTGGAGAGGGAGGCTGTTGAGTACTGGGTGCTGTGTTGGAGACGGAAGGAGTTGAGCAGAGGGTTACTTCCAAATTCGTCTTTGGGAGGGAGCCTGTTGAGTATCGGGTGTTGGGTTGGAGAAGGAGGCTGCAGAGTACTGGGTGGTGTGTTGGAGACGGAGGGAGTTGAGTAGAAGGATATCTTCAGGTTCATCTTGGGGAGGGAGCCTATGGAGTATCGGTTGTTGTGTTGGAGAAGGCGGCTGTTGAGTACTGGGTGCTGTGTTGGGGACGGACGGAGTTGAGTAGAAGGTTTTGTTCAAATTCATCGTGGGGAGGGAGCCTGTGGAGTATCGGGTGTTGTGTTGGAGAAGGAGGCTGTTGAGTACTGGGTGCTGTGTTGGAGACGGAGGGAGTGGAGTAGAAGGTTTTTTTCAAGTTCATCTTGGGGAGGGAGCCTGTCGAGTATCGGGTGTTGGGTTGGAGAAGGAGGCTGTTGAGTACTGGATGCTGTGTTGGAGACGGACGGAGTTGAGTAGAAGGTTATTTTCAAGTGCAACTTTGGGAGGGAGCCTGTTGAGTATCGGGTGTTGTGTTGGAGAAGGGGGCTGTTGAGTACTGGGTGGTGTGTTGGGGACGGACGGAGTTGAGTAGAAGGTTTTGTTCAAATTCATCGTGGGGAGGGAGCCTGTGGAGTATCGGGTGTTGTGTTGGGGAAGGCGGCTGTTGAGTACTGGGTGCTGTGTTTGAGACAGACGGAGTTGAGTAGAACGTCGTTTTCAAGTTCATCTTTGGGAGGGAGCGTATTGAGTATGGCGAGTTGTGTTGGAGAAGGAGGCTGCTGAGTACTGGGTGCTGTGTTGGAGACGGACGGAGTTGAGCAGAAGGTTTTGTTCAAATTCATCTTGGGGAAAGAACCTGTTGAATATGGGGATCGTGTACTGCGGGATTAAATATCGGGGGCTGGTGGAAACGGGTGCACTTGCAGGGGGTGAACATCGTTCCGAACTTGAGCCCAAAAAGTCTTCCAAACAAGAGCCTCAAAATTGAGTCCGGGAATCTTGGGGATCATTGGTAAATTCATGTGGAATCAGGAGAAACGGGGTTTCTTGTGGGTTTCGGAGGGCTATGTATATGTATATATATATATATATATACACAAGTGGCACGTGTGCCCAGGCTCATACAAAAAACTGAAGGGGCGTTTGAAGCAGGAGTGAAATGCAACATCGAAGTCGCACTCGAGCGCAAGTGGGGTTGCCACACCTTGCGATGTGTGTACCAGGACCCCCCAGGAAGCCTCAGGAGGCCCGACTTGGATACCAGAAGAGGCTCCAGGAGGCCCCAGGATTGTGAGTGTTGTGCGTGTGTGTGTGTGTGTGTGATGTATGCTTTGTGTGGTGCGTGCTTTTTGTGTGTTGTAGGTGTTGTGTGTGTGTGTATGTTTGTCTAGCGTGTGATGTGTTGGGCGTGATTTGTGTCTCTGTGTGCATGTAGTTCTGAAGCCCCAGGAGGCCCCAGGAAGCCCCAGGCGGCCTCAGGAGGCCCCAGGAGACCCCAGGAGGCTTCAGGAGGCCCCAAGAGGCTCCAGGAGGCCGCAGGAGGCCCCAGGAGGCCCCAGGAGGTTTCAGGAGACCCCCAGGAGGCTCCGAGGCGGGGTCTGGGGTGCCAGAAGGTTCAGAAAGCCCCAGGAGGCCCCAGGAGGTTCCAGGAGGCCCCCAGGAGGCTCCGAGGCGGGGTCTGGGGCTCGATTTTGGAAGGATTTTTCAAGCGAAACCGCCATTCCCTGAGAATCGGGGTCACAATTATTGAAATTACCATGTGTTTTTGAAGGTTTTATGTTAAAATGTTGAAATTCCCATGTGTTTTTGGACCCTGACGTCACGATCTGCGTGAGGGGTGCCACCGATTTTCAGAAGTTCGAGGATGTCCCGAGCGAAACGCCCAGAAAAATCGCGGACGCGTGCGCATTAATCGCCTGAACTCTACTCCCTCGGAGAGGTGCGTATGAGAATATATATATATATATATAGATGTATGTGTATATATATATATATGGAACGCATGATGGGCCAATTTTCCAACACCGTTACCAGACGCAGGACGGGGGGGGAGGGAGGATGGGAGGTCTTCCTCCCCTCCTCTTCCTCCTCCCTCTCCTGCCCATGTTGGTGGTGGTGGAAAATCGGCCCATCAACCCAGCCCCCATCGAGACGCGTTTTTGGTATGAAGGTGGTCCGCCACGCGACAAAGTAGGGACGGAACTAAGTCATCACAGGCATTTCGTGGGAGGCGCAACAACATAGCAGCTAGGTAGACCCCCTCTGATTTTGGGGAAGCAAGGCTGCGGGGTCCTGAGGCCCGCCGGAGAAAATGCGCAGCACCGCACATCTGCGGTTGAGAGTGAGGGGGCGGGCGCAGGGTGGGTCAAAAGTGGGTCGCGGGAGGGTGCCGGGAGGGTCGCGGGCGAGGACGAGGGCAACAACGCAACAACAAGAACAACAACAACAACAGCAACAACAACACCAACAATAACAACAACAACAACAACAACAACAACAACAACAACAACAACAACAACAACAACAACAACAACAACAACAACAACTACAACAATCCGCACCGTGGAACACCACTTCAGCCACGCGACTAGGGACAGTGAATTACCGACCATTCGGTCCACTCACCCTGATATGTGTATATGTATACATATATATATATATATATATATATATATATATTCATATATATATATACACGCAATTGTGCACAAACAGACCTGGGCGAGGGTCCTGGTCGTGGGTTTCGTCTACGAAATGCCCTCCCTGGGGCGTGGATGTTGTATACTGAACGTGGCCCGGGGCGGTGGAACCTGCTCGAGGCGGGAAGGGACGCGGTGTACCAACAACTCTCGGGGTGAAAGACGGGGCCCCGAGGGCGACAGCCTCATAGAGTGCGTTCCGCTTGTGACCCGCCTCCGATCCTCAAGGCCCGATGCCCCAGAAGATAGACGTTCCCCACCCGACAAAAGAGGGGTTGTTGTTCGATTCAGAAGCCCGTCGAACACATAACATCACATAACGCATTTACGGTATACGAAGGCAGAGCCGCAAATACCATGACACTGTGCAATACAACGCTGGCTCGAGCATCCTACGACTACACAGCAAGTGATCCACTTTCACCCCATCACACATCCCATGCGTTCTGGCGCCACGCTGGCCCCGCAATGCCCGACGCACATCTAGTAAGGCTTCGGTGGGAAGCGCTCGACGCAAACCGACTCCCCAAACAGAGTTTGTGCCTAGGGGCTCTTGCTTCTCACGTCAGGAATCGAGCCTGTCTGTCGGTCTGAAGGATCTGCTGCCGCCGTCGACGCCACGTCGAAGCCCCGCCGCCACCCGTCGTCTGGGCCTGTCTGGCAGTCGCCGCGGCGGTTGCCGCCGTCGCCGCCCCGTC